GACTTGACAGTACCCAACAGCAGTCTTTATGGGAGCAGACTGCCACATCCTTCTTCCACGTAGCAGCTGGTGGATTCGAACTACCAAGCTTTCCATTAGGAGCCAAGTGCTTAACCACTGCGCCAGTAGGGCTCCTTCCAAGAATTCCCAGTTGGGCCAAACTCTGCCTTTCCTTGGGCTATTTCTCCACAGGTGGGAGCCATTTATTGCATTAAAAATGGGATTCAGGGGGTCCTGTGGTGTTTCATAAACCAAGCCTGAAAGCCACAGGAGGGGATTTTTATTAGCTGCAAAGTAAAGGAAAAAAAAAACAAAAAACTCACTGCCATCGAGTCATATCTGACTCATAGTCTCATAGCGACCCCTCCTTGGGTTTCCGAGGCAGTGTCACTACAGAAGTAGATTGCCCAACCTTCCTTCTGAGGAGTGGCTGGTGGGTTTGAACTGCCAGCCTTCTGGTTAGCAGTCAAATGCCTTAGGCACTGCGCCACCAGAGCTCCCAGCCGGAAAGTAAAGCATGGCAGATTTGACAGTTGGCTTTGTTCCCAGCCCTGACGTAGATGCAAGGTCAGCAAGGTCATCTTGATCGAGACTTGTGGACCCAGAGGCTTGGCTTTGATTGAGGGCCTCCTGTGTCCCAGGCTTGGTATCAGGCTCTTTGCATGCCTGTAGGTGCTATTTTATAAGCGAAGAAGCTGAGACACAGAGAGGTTCATAAACTTGCCTGAGGGCACACAGCTAGTTGATGGCAAAGTCAGTTATTTGGTCCCAGCATGCCCGGACTTCAAAGTCTCTTCTACCGTTTTCTTTATACCATAGAGTGTGAATGCTGGGCCCAATACTCATTTTAACATATACCCAAAGTCTGACTTCACTGTGAAATTTTCTCATTTCTTAATAGAATTCATGTAACTTTTAAGTCTTATTTATTTTTAAGTTGTTCCTGCACCTTCAGGAAATTCACCTTTTAAATTGTGCGGGTGAGTCCAGCACTCTGCATGAGAGCCTTCTTTCTGGGTCCCTGTCAGGCTTTTTTTTTTTTTTTTTTTTTAATGCAGTATTTGCATAACCTGGACAGCAGGCATTGGTAAACTGCGGCCCACTGGCCAAAGTCGACTGTTTTTGTAAATAAAGTTCTTTGGCACACGGCCACATCCATGCATGCGCTTCCCACCTGTGGTTGCTTTCCCACTACAGTGGTGGAGTTGAGTGGGGCCAGTGGTGCCCCTGGGCCTGCAAAACTGAAAATACCTCCTATCTGGCCCTTTCAGAGGAAGCCTGCTCTGGACCCCCCACTGTGGAATGTGGAGACTTTTTCATCGTGCTGTTTTTCTCCTCTGCCACATCCTAACAGCATTATTAGGATGTTAATCATCACATTCCTCATTGTAAATGGCCCAGAATATTCCATGGCATGGATGTCACAAACTTTCCTTAACCATTTCTTTTTTGTTGGACATTTGTATTGTTTTTTTCCCCCTCAGTAGAACTGTCACATACGTAAATTTGTCCTTTATAAAGAAAAAATTCCAGCCTTGAGTTGCAATAGGGAAGGGTTTTATTGGCAAGATATTGAAGAATGCAGGAAGTATCAAGGGAAGATGGAAGGAACATACAGAGTCCCTGGACCAAAAAGAATTGGCCAATGATCAACCATTTCAGGAGTCAGCATATATTGAGAACTGATGATATTGAAGGAAGAAGTCTAAGCTGCACTGCAGGCATTAGCAAAAAACAAGAGTCTGGGAATTGACAGGATACCAATGAGATGTTTCAACAAACGGATGCAATGTTAGATGTGCTCACTCCTTTATGCCAGGAAATTTGGGAGACGGTGACCTGTCAAACTGACTGGAAGAGATCCTTATACATGCCTACTCAAGAAAGGTGATCCAACAGAATATGGACATTACTCAACAATATCATTAAGGTTTATGCTGAAGATAATTTTAAAATAGTCGCAGCAGTACATTGATAGGGAATTGCCAGAAATTCAAGCCAGATTCAGAAAAGGATACAGAACAAGGGATACGTCGTTGCTGACGTGGAGTTTGCTGTGTTTTAGTGACTATACAAAGGCATTGTACTGTGTGGGTCATAGCACACTATGGATAATATTGTGAACAATGGGAGTTCCAGAACACTTAATTGTGTTCATGAGGAGCCTGTACATAGACCAAGAGGCAGTTGTTCGAACAGAACAAGGGATTACTGTGTGGTTTAAAATCAGGAACGGTGTGCACCAGGGTTTTATCCTTTCTCCATACTTATTCAATCTGTATGCTGAGCAAATAATCTAAGAAGGTGGACTATATGAAGAAGAACACGGCTTCAAGATTGAATGAAGACTCATTAACAACCTGCAATACGCACATGATACAGCCTTGCTTGCTGAAAGTCAAGATGACTTGAAGCACTTATTGATGAAGATCAAAGACTACAGCCTTCAGCATGGATTACAAACCTTGACATAAAGAAAACAAAAATCCTCATAACTGGACCAGTAAGCAACATCATGATAAATGGAGAAAAAATTAAAATTGTCCAGGATTTCATTTTACTTGGATCCACAACTAATACCCTGGAAACAGCAGTCAGGAAATCAAACGAATTTCAAATTTGCCCAAATCATTGGGCAAATCTGCTCAAAAGACCTCTGTAAAGTGTTCAGGTTGAGGACTGAGGTGTGCCTGACCCAAGCCATGGTATTTTCAAGTGGCTCAGGTGCATGAGATCACACGCATAAGGACAATGAGTAAGGAAGACCAAGGAAGAGTTGATGTTTTTGAAGTATAGTGTTGACAAAGAATACGGACTATGCCATGAACTGCCAGAAGAATGGATAAATCTGTCTTGGGAGAGGCACAGCCAGAATGCTCCTTAGGAGCGAGGATGGTGAGACTTCATCTCAGGTCCTTTGGAAACGTTCTCAGGAGGAAGCAGTCTGTGGAGAAGGACATCATGCCTTGGTGCAATAGAGTTTCCACAAAAAAGAGGAAGACCCTCAATGAGATGGACTGACACAGTGGCTGCAAAGATGGGCTCAAACAAAGCAATAATTGTGAGGATGGTGCAGGAATGGGCAGAGTTTCATTCAGTTGTACACGGGGTCGCTATGCGTCAGAATCAAGTTGACAGCACCTGACAGCATTATTTCTTTAGTGACCACTTACATAACAGCTGTTGTCTGCCAGGCCCTTCGTCCTCAGGTCAACCATCAGAAGTTGCTACTAGGATGCTCCACAATTTACAGGCGAGGAGGCCAAGAGTTCACACACCTGGCTTTCTGGCAGCAGAGTCGGGATTGCAGGCAGGCAGGCTGGCTCAGACTCTGCACTCTCACTGGCCCCTGGGAAGTGTCCTGGGCAGTGCTGCCTCTGAGTCCCTGTGAGTGAGGGTGGGGCCAGCCCACAGCCCCATGTCACCCAGATGTGGCTTTTCTTTGCCTCTCCATAGTACACAGCCTGTTATCTCAAGTGACCTAAACTTTCTTTCTTTGTGGAAAAGAATACGCAAAAACCTGTTGCCCTGGCGTTGACTCTGACTCATGGTGGGTCAGCGTAGAACTGTGCTCCACAGGGTTTTAGTGACTGATGTTTCGGAAGTAGGTCAGCAGGCCGCATCTCTGCGTAGAGTTGAACTAGCAACCTTTCAGTTATAGGCTGTGGTGGTGGGAATGAAGAGAAAGCTCAGTGGGCTAAGAAACTCATGGCTCCTGGTTTGAGCACCAGACAATGGCTGGTGGCTGAGCCAGCAGGCGCCATGGTGTGTGCAATACCAGGGACATTAGGCTTCCTGGCATCGGGGGCCTTTAGGAAGCTGATGGGAGCAGAAGACCTTCCCAGGGGAGAACAGGTATCACACAAATGCTGCATAAGATTTCAGGGGGCTGGGGGCCCTCACAACCCATCCAGGACCCCCATGTAGCATCAGAGGATACAGGTAGAATCCTTGGCCCGCAGACACATTGTGCAAAGTGTTTCCCACAGGACATTGGTGACTTGGGGGATCATGTAGAGATGTCATGTAGAGTGCTCTGAGTGCCACGCCGGTGTCCAGAAACGAAAACAGGGACCCTGAGATGCACGGTCACTATGAGCCCGGGCAGCAGGTCCCATCTGTCCCGCTCTCTCTGTCCTCATCATCACTGACCGCAGGGGCCGGTTCAGAGTGGGCGTTGAAACACGACTTACCACCCAGTGAGTTAATCCTGCGTCCCCTACACTTTGGAAATGAGGGAATCAGCCTGCTGTGTGTTCTCAAGGAAGGTGAGATGAACCCAGCCTGGTCTCCATCTGGTCACTGGGTCCTTTGAGGACACACTTACATCCTCATGACTCGTCTCTGTGCCATGAGGAGGCCTGTTGGTTTCTGGAACCTGGGCCCAGACCCATAGCTGGGTGGAGCCCCATCTGGGCTGCTCTGCCTGGTTCGTTTTGAAGCCTCTGGGGAGGCATCGCCAGGCCCGTTGGCGGTACCTCACACCACGTGTTCCTCCTGGGCTGGGCCTCCTCAGCAGGTGGTGCCCCTGGGTTGACCCCATCCCACCTGCTCTGCCGTCAGATGGGTATGGGATGGGAAACCCCCTCGTTCTGATTCAGAAAGGAACCCTGTCAGCATTACTGACTCTCATCCTCATTTGGCCATTTTGCAGCATGGCAGGGGTAGTGGAGAAGATCTCCTGGGCCTGCTGCCAACACTGTGCCTCAGGGGCTATCCCATGGGGACAGGAGACTGACCTTCTTGGAGCCTCAGTTTTCTGCCTTGGTGGTTGCTAGGGGCCTTCAGTGTAGTAATGGGTGCACAGCATCTGCCCAGTGCCTGGCACGTACTCAGTGGCCTCACACATGGTGATGTTGACCCAACCTACAGAGTTCTGACATCCAAAGGCCAAGGTCCATCACTGGCCTTGACACTATTCAGGGCAATCACAGGGTCACAGACAGAGCCCCAGGGTAGGGGATGGGGTAGGAACAGGCAGAGATATGTTACCTGTTGCAATGGCTGTGTCCCTGAAAAAGGTATGGTGAAGTCCTCCATCCCCATCCCACCCTGGCACCTGTGAACATGACCTTGTTTGGAAACAGGGTCTTTGCAGATATTACCAAGTTCACATGAGGTTGTACTGGAGTAGGATGAGCCCTAAACCAATGAGTGGCGTCCTTATGAAAGAGGAGAAGAGACACAGAGAGGTAGGCACAGAGTAATGACGCCACGTGAAGACAGAGCAGAAGTTGGGGAGATGCAGCCACAAACCAAGGAGTGCTGATGGCCCCAGAAGCTTGGAGAGAGGTGGGGACATTTCCCCTAGGAGCCTCAGAAGGAATCACCATGGTTCACCTATTGAACTGTGCCCCTCAAAATTATGTGCTGGCACCCTCTCCCCACACCGTGGGTGTCATCCTGTTTGGAGACTGAGCTTTCCTTGTTGCATTAATGAGCTCATAGCATTGTCCAGTGCGTTTTAAGCCTCATGACATCTGAGATGTGAAAGGAGCAGACCAGGTGCTGGGAAGCAAGCACGAACGGGAGAAGGAGGTGCCACGTGCAGGTCACCAAGGGCACCAAGGGCGAGACGCCGAGACAAGGACCTTCCCCCACAACCGACAGAACCTCCCCTAGAGCTGACGCCCTGAATGTGGACTTCTAGCCTCTTAAACTGTGAGAAAATCCCTTGCTGCTCATCAAAGCTGGCCACTAGTGGTATTTCTGTTACAGCAGCGCTAAGAAACCAAGACAATGGCCAACACCTTGGTTTAGGACTCGAGACCTGAGGACTGTGAGAGACTAATTCCTATTGTTTTAAGCCACCCAGCCTGTGGCACTGCTTCACGGACACACAGACACCTTCACCCGGCGTGGTGCTGAGGGGTGCCTGCCTGGGACGGCCTGTGAGGACAGACTTCTGAAACACTGTCTGGAAGGAATGGAGGAGGCTGCTCTCCACAGCTCAGCAGTTGTGTGCGAGTTTAATCAGTTACTGGGAAAAGATCTCTCTAGCCCAACTCTTTTTGTTATTTAAGAGAAAGGATAAGAAGGATGTCTTAGGATGAAAAGGACTTTTACGTGACATTTCCTAGCATGTGGCCAGGCGTGTGATGCTGGGAGCCTGTTCTGCTTGACATTGTGTCCAGACAGTTGGTCAGATGCTGCCCTGCTCTTTGTGGGCCTGTCACTGACTGGCCATGCCACTCTCTTGCTCACAAACCCTCCCTGGCTCCCTATTGCCCACAGATGAACATCCACACATCCCTGAGTCCCACACTGCCTAGGGCACTTGCCCTGCCCCTCTAGCACTGCCTCTTTCCAGGCTGTTGTTGACTCTTCCCACGCCCACTCTGCAGCCTGAACTTGGCCTTACACCTTCCCACCCCCAAGCCTCCACTCATGCTGCTCCATCTGCTTGTTATGCCCCTTCCTGCTTCTCACCTCATCCAGACCCTGCTCATCCTTCATCTCAGCCAGGCCATTCCCTCCCTGCTCCATGGGCCCCTCCCTGCACCCCTTCTCTGTTTATCGTGATGTTGCTTACTGAACCATTGCTCCATTCACCAAGGCTGTGGGCTGAATCGTGTCCCCACATTTAACCCGAGTACCTACAGATACGTGCCTGTTTGGCACAGGGATTTTCTTTCATTATGTTAATGAGGTCAAACCAGAGTACAGTGGGTCCCAAACCCAATCACTCTTGAATTATAAAAAGAGCAGAGTAGACACAGAGACTGCACAGTGGGCAGACAGCCTGTGAAGACAGACACACACGACAGGGCGTCGACAAGCCCAGGGCCTTCACGAATTGCTGCAGCTACTAGAAGCCAAAAGAGACCAAAAATAGATCTCCCCTTTGAACTATGCCGTGAATTCAGACTTCCAGCCTCCAGAACTGTGAGGAAATAGGTTTCTGTTCAATAAGCCACCCTCTTGTGGTGTTTCTGTCACAGCAACACTAGAAAACTAAGATACCCAAGTTACAGAAGCTTCTGGAATGACCCCCTCCCCCACCCCGTTTGGGCAGTGCCTAGGGCATTTGACGGCTAACCAGAAAGTTGGCTGTTCCAATCCACCAGCCACTCTGGGAGGATGACTGGGCAATCTACTTCCGTAAAGATTTACCACCGCGGAAACCCAAAGGGGGTTGCTATGAGTCAGAATTGACTCAATGGCAGTGAGTTTGGTTTGGTTATATGCAAAAATGCGCTAAAAAGCATCAGAGACCCTTTGTTTACTCTTGGGCCCATGGTTAAGGCTTCTAGCAGCATATATTTCCCTTAGCCCTGAGATGAGTCGGAAACGCCCCTTGGGCTGTCCTTTCATCTTATGAGACCTGGTCCTGCCGTCTGAGGTCTGGAGTCAGGCTCAATTCAAGGGCAGTTCTGGTACCTCCCCACTCTGGCCCTGGCCCCCTGAAAGCCAGCCCTGCCTTTCTAAGAAAGTCAATGTTATGTTCCTTCCTTCAGCAAGTGGCACTGCCCTCCTTCCTGCCACTTGTGCTCTGGGCCCAGGAGTACAAAGTACATGAGACGCAGCTTCTGCCCTCAAGGGTGACAGCCTAGTGGGGACAGACACATCAACACACTGTCCCAGAGCCAAGTGGGGCATGCTGCGTGGCACTGTTTACCAAGGGCTGCAGGTGTCAGGGGCAGATGGCACAACACAGCTTTGCTTACAGGGCCACAGGGCCTGGCCAGAATGGCAGTTGCTGCTCTGAACCGTACCTGAAGAGTATCAGGTTGAGCTGTGGGATTGGGCCACCTTGGAGAACTCACCGCAGCTTTTTCTCCACCATCCAGTAGCAGCTGTTTCTTTCTCACATCTTGGTTCTCCAATCAGCTGCAACGTGCTGTTTGGAGCCAGGTGGATGCTGAACACTTGCCTACAAGTGGTTGCCGTGGTTACGGAGAAGCCTCTGGATCCAGACTGTCCAGGTTTCAATCTGAGCTCTCTACAGGCTTTTGGTAGTTAGCGACCATCTCTGTGACTTGTCTCCTTCTCTGTAACATGGGACTGATACGTGTCTACCTTGTAGGGTATGTTTCTACAGCACTGGCACGTGCCTCGGGAAATGGTCTGGCACAGAGAGCTGGGGCTTGCTGACATCTCCCGCTGTTGTGGGTTGGAACTGGGGCTCGGAACGATGTAGCCTCTATCAGCACACTGCACAGCGTCCACCGCTGGCTGTGGTGGACTGTAGGCTGTCCCATGGGGTAGCAGGGTGTGATTAGCTTCAGCTTTCCAGAGCAGATGATGATGATAGCCCTTTAGAGACCTTGGAAAGGAGCCCTGGTGGCACACTGGTTAAAGTGCTCAGCCGCCAACCAAAACCACCAGATGCTCCGCAGATGACAGATATGGCAGTCTGCTTGTGTAAAAGGCGACAGCCTTGGGAACCCTGTGGGGCAGTTCTGCTCCGTACTATAGGCCGCTATGGGTAGGAATCAACTCGAGGGCAGGGGGTGGTGTGCTGGTGGAGCCCTTGGCTAGGGCTTCTAGCGGCATCTGTTTGCCTTAGCAACAGTGATTCTATCAGAAGAAGCCCCGAGGTGAGTTGGAAGCGCCCCTTCCCTTCATAACAGCCTTCCATTTTAAAGCTTACTGTCTCGAAGGAGGGAGGCAGGTGGGAACTTTGGCCCCTGTTTACCAATGACGAGACAGGTCTGGAAGCTAGCTGGTGATGGAGCCTGAATTGGACCTATGTGCCCTGACGACACCGTGTCCAGGGCCTGCTTCACCTCCACCCCCTCTTCCTAGCAGTGTATTTGGGGTTAAGAGCCTGTGTTGACTTCACTCCTCCCTGGCTCCTGCTTTTCTGGAATTTCCTTGAACCAGCAGCTGGGGTGTCCTGAGCACTGACGGGGAGACAGATGCTTGTCTGGTCCACACTTCTTCCTTTCAATGAAAAAAGAGCTGGACTGACTTAGTACCTGCTATGTACCAGTGGGGTGTAGGCATAGTCCTCATATTTTCCAGATTTATTTCTTTATTCAGAAATATTTGGGGTACCTACTGTGTGCCAAGGAGTCCCTGGTGGTGCAAATGGTCAAGCACTTGATTGCTTGCCAAAAGGTTGGTGGTTCAAAGCCACCCAGACATGCCTTGGGAGAAAGCCCTGGTGACCTCGTTCCAAAAGGTCACAGCCTGGAAAAACCCGTGGAGTAGTTTCTACCCTGCACACATGGGGTCACCATGAGTTGGAATTGACACAATAACATCTAACAACGATGTGTTGGCATCTGTCCTACGTACCACAATGAGACAGGTGCCTAGATGCAGTTTCATTCAAATGAGAAAAGGAGGTTTTGGGTTCAGAGGAGTTGGACTGGAACTCAGGTCCTCTAACTCAGAAGCCCAAGTTGTTGGTTTCCAGCCCTGATACTCAGAGACCCCTGGCAGCTGCATGAGTTGTTGCCCAAGAGTCCAGGCCCCATTCTGAGCAGGGCTGGGATGGAGGGAGACAGAGGCCACGTGACAGAGTAACAGGAGGGGCTCCATCAAACATCAGCTCTACATGCTCGTGACTGTTGGGTCAAGCTGCCCAGTTCTGTCCTCATGGACCAGCCTGTTCAAGGCATTGGCTGGCAGCCCCCTTGGTGAGACAGCAGGTTCCTGTTGACGGTGGTCTTCTAGGAACCTCCTTGTCCTTCAGCTAACAAGCCCATGCTGAGCACATGATGAAACTTGAAGGTCTGGTGCCTGGGATGGGGTTCACACAGACTCTGGGGTTTGAGAGGGGTGCCCTAAATGAAAATGTGGAAGTATATCAAATGGTTAGCCGTTGTCAGATGCCATTGGATGGTTAGGCATTGTTGTCAGATGCCATCCAGTGGGCTTGGGCTCATGGCGATCTTACATACAACAGAAGGAAACACCACTGGTCCTGCACCAGCTCTTTGATCTTTGATGTGTTTGAGTCCATTGTTGAGCTCTGTGTCAGTCCATTGCATGGAGGGTGTCCCTCCCTCATTTTCACTGACCTTCTGCTTTAGCAACCATGATGTCCTTTCTTAGTGATTGGTCTTTCCTA